TTTTTTTTTTTTTTTTTGAAAGCAAGCATCCATCATGATTCAGAAAGGGGATGCTTTTTTCGTAGGCACTTTGTCATGTTCGTAGGGCACCGTGGTCCAGCACCGTGATCGAAGGACGCAACTTCTATTTCTTTAAAAAGATTGACAATAACAGATGCTAGTGTTTAATAATCATCGGTTCAGTCGTTGCGATGACTGTATTCAGGATAAGAGGAAATCGTGGGAGTCGAATTGGTGTACTGAGCGTATAGATATAGCGCAGGGTGAAGCCCTGGCGGAGGAATGCCACGATGCGATTGATGATGAGCTCGATGATGAGACTCCGGCGAATCAATGGAGGTCGACAAGTGAGGATAGAGTTGGGAATTAGGGCTACCCATAGGAGATGCCGAAGAGGAGCCCGTCGTTTGGTAGACACTCTGCGTTGATGATAGTGGTGGTGGTCGTGGAGGTGGTCGTGGTAGTAGTGGTGGTGGTAGTGGTGGTGGTTGTGGTGGAGGTTGTGATGGTGGTGGTGGTAGTGGTGGTGGTGGTGGTGATGGTGTGGTAGTGGTGGCGGTGACGGCGTGCTCGCGTGAATGAAGTGTGAACGGCGTGGTAGCCGAGGTGGGTGGACATACTACTTGCTGCGACGACGGTGATCGTTGCTGCGACAGGGATTGCGGCAGGGATCGTGACGCGCTGCCGTCTAAACACTAGTTGGTTGTCTGCGGATGCAGTAATGGTAGAGGAAGCTGTAGATTGTTTTGCTTGGCTAGGCTCGCGATCTCAGCGGCGATACCACCACCCTTCCCACCGGGTAGACCGTCCAACGACGATGGTCCCTCGTTGTAACGCAGATCGCAAACCGGACTTTCAAAGCCGGTCCCTGAGGCGCCGCCTGCGGTGCTCTGTGGCGTCGACGGATTGTGATTCGAGCCGCTCTGACTCATGTCGCGATGAACCCGATTTTGATGCCTTATCAAATAGCTGTCTCGTACAAACGTACGCCCGCAAATCCCACATTCGTAAGTCGTACCCGCGGTATGCGTACGAATGTGTATGGCAAATTGACTCTTCGACGTAAACGTCAGGGAACACCTGTCACAGACCAAAGGTTTTTCCGCGACGTGGCTCCAACGATGCGCCGTTACGTAGCTCTTTACCGCAAAACGTTTCTGACAGATGTCGCAGGCGTACGGCCGTTCGCCCGTATGCACGCGCTTGTGAGTATTCAAACTGCTCTTTTGCGTGAACCTTTTTAAACAGAGCTCGCATTGAAACGGCCGTTCGCCCGTATGAGTTCTCATGTGTACCTCCAAGTAAGGCTTACGACAGAAGCTCGCTTCGCACACCGTACAATGGTACGGCTTGTTCCCCGAATGGAGTTTCATGTGTACGTAGTAGGAGGACGCTGAGGATAAGACCTTGCCACAGACTTTACAAGGCTGCGGTTTAGATCTGGTGGCTTCCTTAGAAGTCTGCTGACCGGTAGACTGACGATCAGGACTATCCGGTTGTATATTTTGACTCTGCTGTTGTTGACTCTGCTGCGACTGCTGTTGACTCTGCTGCTGACTCTGTTGCTGACTCTGTTGCTGTTGGCTCAGCTGCAATGAACTTTGTTGTTGAGGTTGTAGGTGGCCTTCCTGTTGCGAAAGGTCTTCCCTGTCGTCTGATAAATTAACCATAGAATTAGAACCATCCGAACGGCTAGAAGCAACCGAATAAAAGCCCATCGGCTCGCTTTTAATCTGTTGGTCGAACATAGATGTCATTATGTCGCTCTGCTGCGGCTGAGCCAGCTGCTGTGGCTGCAACTCCTGCTGCTGCTGCTGCTGCTGCTGCTGCTGCTGCTGTTGTTGCTGCTGCTGCTGGTGCTGCTGCTGCTGCTGCTGGTGATGGTGATGATGGTGCGGCGGCGGCGGCGGCGGCGGCTGGGGGTGAATTTGCTGATGGGGGAGCAGAGTCAGGTTGCGCTTGACAAACTGCTCATATCCTGCGTACCAATCCACCTGCATAGCAAGGAAGAACTATAAATCTTTTTTTCACTATGAACACTCTGCCGAGTATATACGTCGTACAGGGCGTACGTTCGCGAGCATGTCAATTTGCGTATCCATCTAAGCGCGTTTACGATACGCCAGGTTAGCTCCGTCGCTTTGACATTTATTTTTGACAAGTGACAGAAGGTAACTGGACGATCAGCTGATTGCATAACTTTTACGTGTGGCGTTCGAAACGCGAGGCGAGTTCGTCGTTATAAGTATCCCGACGAACGACGCGCTTCCTACGACGCGAGCCACTCTATTTTTAAAGGGGCGCCGTGCGAAACAACGTTATATTTTCACCGTAAAACCGGATTCCCTATGACGAACAACAGGGCCGCGCGCGCGAGTGGGGGTCGCTTTCCTTCCCTATAGACGACGCGCCGAGCATTGTTTTCCTTCCCTCGTTTTTTTGTTCATTTTACGAACCTTTGCTAAGTGTAGTGGTCCGGGCTATGGTCGAAAAACGTCGCGCCTCATTCGAGCGCACACGCCTACCCTCCGGTCGAGCGGCTTCACGGGCAATCGCGAAACATTTGTAATAGGACAAATTGTTTTTCTCCGACACAAAATATAAGATGGCTGCTACTATATTTCGCGGACAGGCCACCTATATAGAAGCACACGTTCGCCCGCGCGAACGCTGATTGACGGTTGCCAGACAGCAATTTGATTGGTCGAGAAACCTTAAGGTATGTATCGTTGCGAGCTACATCTGCCGTCGTTTCATCCTCTCTCTTTGTTGTCACGTCTTCCTCTTTAAGGCGATCTTTTCTTCCTCTCTTTTTTTTTCCTTTTTTTTTTTTCTTTTTTTTTCTTTCTTTCTTTCCTTTTTTCTTTTCTCCTTACCTTCTATTTTCCCATTTGCACAGACGTTAATGCGTTTTATTAAATGAATTAGATTAATTTTATTCATTTATTCGTGCGTAAACAAATTTTCGTTTAACTTGTCGTTAGAAATGAAAATTCTATCGTAGAATCCATATTGGTCGAAACAAGTTTGATGCCAATAGAGAGGAATGATGATAATTATAGATCTGTAATTAACGTTTGTCTCTTTGTAACCGTCTTTATTGTCTTGAAAAAGTCGTGTCGAAAATGGCGGGAGTCTTACGCCATGTTCAAATTTACCGCCTAAATAGAAAGAGACGACGTATCTCTTTGTAAAGAATAATTCGAGGAAATCTATCAATTGCGTCGCATTTGGATATTGAGAAAAAATTTTTCATCCTACTATTTCCCTTTATTTCCATATATTACATTTCGTTTGTTATTATTCTTTTTACTTCGTTCGTACTACGTTGACAAAGGCCCACTTTGATTGGCCGATAGAGACGTGGGCTTTACAGTAAACACGGAACTACATCGTATAGACTGTACAACATAAATATGGCAACAACGTTGAAACTTAATTTATACGAGTACGGTTCTTCATTTTATATCTCGTTACCGCTCTCCTCCTTTCTTCTTTATTTCTCTATTTATTCTAATTAATCGCTTGAAATATAACGAGTAAGATTAAATTAACATTAAGTCCGTCACGACGATCTCATTTTTATGTGAAACTAACAACAATAATATACATTAATGAAATCAGACCCCGAGAGAGAGAGAGAACCATTTCTAACGTTACATTAGTTTCATTCTAAAATCGTTGAGAGAATATTAATTCGAGTGTAAAAAAAAGTCGTCGAATAGCAATCGTTATTGGTGGATACAATTCAAGCGATCTAGATAGAGAGATAAAAATAATATAGGTAAGAATATATTTTTACTCATTCCAATGATTATTCTACTGAGCACATGTTCAAATCCAATACTCGTGTTGTTATAATGAAATAATAATCATTAAGGAAATCTTGGACATTATTGTATGTACTTTAAACCTTTCATATGTTAAAGTTTATCTCATTATATTCGTTTTGTAGATTGTAGAAAAATGGCAGTGCCAGCGGAGAGTATTATAGATTCAAACCTCAATGATCCGGTAACAAAAGCCGTTGTTGACAATATAATGGGTAATTTGCCTACAAAAAAACCTCTGGTTCGTTGCGACGATTGTGATTTATCCTTTACAAGCCAAGCAGTATTAGATACACATTTACAAGGCGCTCGTCATGCCAAGCAGGTTTGCAGAACTTTTCTTTATTACTTTATAAGACATTTTAATATTCACATTTATTTCCTTTATTTATAACTAATGAAAGCGAGCACATTTATCATAGATAAGGTCAAAAAATATAATGGCGTCGCTTGAAGAAACTAAGGTAGCATTTACAAAAGATGCGGACACCAATGGGCTAAAGTGTAATGTATGTAATGTCTGTCTCAACTCGATACAACAACTTCAAACGCATTTAAATGGTATTGTATCTTTTATGAAGTTAGGCATAGAAATGAAACCAGTAGAGCGCAATGTATTACAAAAGAATGTGTTTTTGTAGGAAGTCGACACAAGAAGAAAGCTATGAGAGGTAATAAATCAAATGCGGTAAGAAAACAAATCCCATACGGCTTAAAATGTAGTCGCTCTATATACATGGATAAAATAATAGAAAAGAATATAGTTGTATTGATTTATTGTTTAATTCTTTTTACATTCGCATGCTTGATACTGCTACTTACTTTTGCTTTTCATATGTTTTTTTAAAACTAATTTTTTTCTTTCTCTCTCTGTCTCTCTCTCTCTCTCTCTCTCTCACTCTTTTTTCTTTTTTTTTTCTTTTCTCTTTTTTCTTTTTTTTTTTTTTTTTTTTTTTTAATCATTTTTGTGCTTACGCCACAGCATTTTTCATAATTAATTCAAAATTGCCTACTTCACGAATCTCCAAATAATAAAATGTTATTTCTATATTGTAGGGCTAAGGTACCACTTATTATATTTAATGTTTCTTATTTGTTACTTGTTATTTAGTATTATTATTTATTATATATTTTTGCTTGAGACTGATATTTATATGTTCATTATTTATTTATTTATTTGTTAAAGCATTATTGTGAACGTGGCATAATCACAAGTAAATCAATTATACATTTAAATAATAATAAAGCAAGTAAAGTACATTTAATCGCTTAGTTCTATAAGTGACTTCGAGAACCCGTCGTTGAGTGCATAAATAATATTGGGTTTTGTAAATTAGAAGTTTGTCTTTAAACGATGTAGATAATGGAAGATTAATTTGCCATTTTGCACGTAGGACTTTTTTTTATGCTTCAAAGATTAAGATTTAAAATCGTAATTTTTTGAAATAAAAGTCACAAGGAAAACAAAATTTATAAAAAAAAAAACATAATTAATTTATGCACTATAAACAATCCATGATACTTAATTGTACTTCACTATTATTGGTATATGAATTGTATTATTTATATTCACAAATTATATTCACAAATTATTAATATTTCTTTTCTCCATAGCATGAATATAGTATTGAAAATGATTTGTCATCACACTGTCGATCACTTGTACTACTGCGATACATAGCGTTGATTATATATTAATGCTTAGGTGGGTGGTTTGGAAAAGAAGTTGTCACACAAGGTAGTTCGTTGGTTGCTCCTGCAATCAACATACAGGATTCTGGTCCTATGAAGGCAGTCTCACTGTCATGCGATATATGCAACAAATTTTTCAACTCTCCTTCGCAATATAATGTGGTATAGTATTATACCTCATTCAGTATAATACAATTAAAATATTTATAGAGAAAAATGGTACAAACTTATTTTTAAATACTAGGACAATATATATGTAACGATCATAAATTTGCAGCACATGAAATCCAAGAAGCACACTGGCAAAATGAAGAGAGCTAAGACTCAAAAAAAGAAACGATTTTCTCCATATTGGAAAAAACCGAAATCTGATACGAACTCAACCACTGTACAATCTCTGTCAAATAATTTTGTACCAGGTGGTTTTACGAATCAAACATAGTGCTAAGGTTTCATTTATTCTTAAGATTCTTTATTTGAGATTATATATTAACACACTTTGTGCTGGTATATATGTCTCTGATATATATATATATATAAAAAGAGAAAAAAAAAATAAAAAAAAGAGAAAAGGAAAAAAACAAAAAAAAAACAAAAAAAAAACAAAAAAAAAACTTGTATTGCGTTAATATCCACGAATTGATCTATGGCACTGATGAAATTAAGTATTTGGTCCATTTTATAATTGGTCAAGAATCAAGAAATAATTTTACCAATTATACAGAATCTTATTCGTTGATATAACGCAAAAGTTAAAGGATCTGCGGGATAGCAAAAGTGCTAATCTGTGATCTGAAAACTACAAACGAAAAATTTTATGTAAAAAAAGTTTATTTATAAAAAGAAAATGTGAATATCTGAAGTCTTGTGAATAATAGTTACATACTCAGCAAATACATATATGCCGTTATTAAGTCTAGCCAATGTTATAATAGTGTTAGTAAAACGAACTTATATAGCATTACAGTGTTTACCTGTCGTTAGAACGATAACACAGTATTTCTCTGTTATTATTGTAAGGACAGTTAGGCATCTTATATATGCTGTCGAACTTAGGAATGTCATAATCACGTGTATATTCGTATAATTGTCGATAGGGAAAATGAAGAACAAAATTATTATTATAATTTTCTTTATAATCGATACATACACACATACATACGTACGTACGTACATACATACATACATACATACATACATACATACATACATACATATATATATGTGTGTATATATATGTATATATATATATATATATATATATATATATATTTTTAAACAAAAGCATATATATGTAAGAAATATAAATTAAGGTAACAAAATCTTCCAATTTTCATTATTTATAAGATCGGCGTCTTAGTAATAAAACAATAATATGTGTTTGTTGGGTATTAGCGATTGTTCTTTAAATGTACTACCATGATGTGTATATAAAAGTAATGTTTAAGTAAGAAAAAGCACAGTTAGAGCGAATGTAACATGGTGGTACACGACGTATGTACAGAATCTAATAAAGATTCTGTCTCCTTTTATATTACGTTTGATTTTATTTACAACGGCCGTTATAAGTAAACTTAATTACCAATCTTTGCGTTTTTCCATTTATCGATTGTTCATATCAACGATTAGCATTTTAAAAAGAAACCTTTCACCTTCCCCTGTGGGCCCGGGGATAGAATATACCCACAGTATCCTCTGCTTGTCGTAAAAGGCGACTAATAGAGGTTGAGTGTTGACAAGTCAACCTCGTAAAAATTCGGGGAAAAAGGAAAACGCATGGATGGACGGATGGATGGATGGATGAATGGATGGATTTGTTGTTGGCATCTTAAATTCCATTATGTTTTACCAGAGGAAGATATTTCTGTATCGGTTATCGGGCTGCTTCTAGTCTGAAATACATATATATATATATATATTATATCGAATAATAATGTCATTTATATTTTTCATTGAAAAAGAAAATGTAAATCTTTTCTACCTCAACGGTATTATATGTCTTTAGTAAACGTCGTAATTCAGCATTTTGTTTCTTCAAAAATGCCGTTTCATTGCTCAATCTTTGTCTTTCTTTCAATGTTTCATAATATCGCTTAAGTCCAACGAGCAAGCCATCCCAAAGGGATTCTTTAGCTGGAGGAAATAAATCCCTGTATCTTTTCCAAAATTCTTTTATATCCTCTACGGTTAAACTTCGTGAAATTGTTACTTTTTTCATTGATAATCTCTCCTTCAAAGATTTTGGCGTTTCGTCGCGTTTAATAAAATTATATTTCTCTATGAATTCCTTCAATGCTCTTGTAACATATGATGCATCAATCTTTAACAAATGACCCTTTTTGCAGAGCAATTGATTTACCCCTTCCTTTGGTTGCGATGAATCTTTGTTTTCGTCACAAGATGTGAATGATACTTCTAATTCATCTGATGAAATGGACGTCGTAGTTTCTGCCGAAGGAAGACGTTTTTCCGAATAGTCCGTCGTATCAATGAGTGTACAAACGTTTGAACATACGTCTTGAAAGAAAACTTCTGCCTTTATAGTTTCGACTAATTTAGCTGTTTCTTCGTCTAATTCTTTGCCGCCACAGACGAGAGGTGTATTACTCCTAATTTGATATTAATATTGATTTTTCATCATCATGTTATAATTCATGGATTCTCTTTTTTTTTTTTTTTTTTTTTTTTGTTTGTTACATACGTGCTAGTAGACGACGACGACGACAAGGATTCCGTCGTTTTATCCAAAGACATACAATCGGGACAATACGTATATGGGAGGAAGAAATTTAATAAGAATTGTATTTCCTCTTCGGATATTATGTTTAATGCCTGGTAACATAATCAATGGCATAATTAATACGATAATTAGCAGCATCGTTTTTACACATTTGCAGATTTTTTCAGAATATTTTTCTTACCTGAAAAACATTGTCCAATCTAATGATTACATTGTTCTCGGTTGTATACGGTAAAAGTAATTTTTGTATGTTATCGTCAATCAGATAATTGGATTTCTCGGATATATGTTCCATTATATGATTTAATAAACGTCGTTCCAAATTGATGTCTTCCAAAGTAACAGCCTTTTTGTAAGTAATTGGCATTTGTCTTTTTTCTTGAGCATCAGTCTTTTCTATAGAACAAAACGAAATATGCAATAATTAGAAATAATTTTGATATGTCAGAATGGATTATACAAAAAAAAAAAAAAAAATTACCTTTATTTGTAATATTAATCGCAGTACAGTAAGAAGGTAAATCTTCCTTGGTCAAAAGTTTTACCTCGGGAGGTTGCCACTTTAATCCTAATGCTCGTTCATGTATAATTTGATCAGTAGCCATAATCTAAAACGTCGAACCAATGTTATGATTATTCGTATCGATCAATATTAATTATAAAAATGACTTCGTCATGTTACTTTATCGATCAGCTCATTGACACGTTTTACATTCATATCCCATACTTGAAAGTATTTTTTCTCATTAATATCAGTAAAATACTGTGACTTTTCTTCGAGTTCTAAAATATTCTTATGTGCCTTGAGAACTTGATCGGTCAATCCTTGAATTTCTGATCGACTATCTTCTTCTAATTTGACGTAAGTCTTTCTTAATTCGTTCATAGTGTCTTGAAGCCTGTAATAAATGTGTATTACATTAATATTGCATAAGAAAACAGAACAACGTTTATTCAATGTACCAACTTATTAATTCGTCTTTTTTGTTCATTTTTAATTATAGTATTCTCTTCGTCTTTGTGCTTAAGAACGGCATAACTATAATTTAATTTTTCGACATTTAACATGCACAAAGCTTTCATATCCTGTAACTTCTGTTGAAGGTCCTGATTCTCCAATGCCAAAGTTATTTTTTGAGAACGATATTCCTCGTGGTGTTCAGTCATGACTCTTTCCATTTCCTCCTCGTATTCACGAATTATATCTTTTCTTTTTTCAATGCCTTCGTGACCATTATCCCGTAACTTCTCATAGAAATCTTTCCATTTGTTCTCGAGCGTATCTAAGAGCAATTTACGTTCGGCGTCCAACACGTTGTTGATATTATCCAATTCTTTATGATAAGCCTCGGCGATTACATTTAACTGTTAAAGAAAAAAATACAACATTCTTTAAGTCGCATATATAAAATATTCAAATTGATTGGAATTAAATAATAAATTCATAGATCAACCTGACGATCTATTCTATCGATCAATATATCAATATCTTCGTTTTGTTTCTTAAGATCATCGACGAATCTGAGATCGGCATTCTCTAGCTCGGCCTTCAATCCCATAATAATTTGATCCTTCTTCTCTAATAATTCAAGACACTTGGCATTTTGCCGCATCATCTTTTCTTCTATGTCCAATGGATCTTTTGATGCAAATATGTCGGACCATTTTTTATCGATCTCCTTATACTTTAGCATACATTCTTCATTATCTCTCTCTAGTTTCTCCAGCAAGGCTTCTCTTGTCTCTTGTACTTCCTTACGTCGTTCTAACTCTCGAGCATCGTTAGCAACTTTTACATTGGATATCTATATTGTATTCGTATATGTATATATATATATATAAATTTTTTTGTAGAAATTTTCTCCTTTTTGAGAAAGGATAAAATTTATATAACAATTTAATAACAGAGTTATAATACTGACCACTTCTTCGCCTTCTAACTTGATCTCTTCCAGAAATTCAGTACTGGCAAGAATCTGTCTTTCGATGGGAGTTTTTTTAATGATTTCTACGTCTTTGGCTCCTTTTACCCTAAAAAATAAAACCTTTATTTCTTTTGGTCATATTTTTAAGTAACCCAAGTAAAGTTCATAAGACTTTCGAATGAAAATCATGCTGATTTTTAATCAATTGTATCTTGCTTTTTCTTTTCTTTTTTTTTAGTTCATTAAGAAGAAAAAAGTAAAAATAAAAACTTATACTTATGCAGAACGCTCAAGCGACGTTGAATTCGTTGTCTCCTAGCCAATTTTCGTATATTTGGATCCGACGATGATAATGATAATTCCTTTGATACATCTTTTTCGACACTTCCTAATTGCTTTTCTTTTGCAATCATGTTTTAATTACTTCTTTTTCTCTTTTTTAGGTCGATAACAGATAAAGTTTTATTAATTAAAACTCGCAGGAATTTGAAAAAGGAAATTTTCGCAATAAAAACTCTTTAATCAAAGACGAATAAGTAAGAGAGTTTATTCAATGAACTATGTACATCTGCTTCATCGAAGTAACATAAAATAGTAATACAAATTTGTTTAATCAATTTTTATGTCATATATATATATATATATATTAATTAAAGAAACGATTATATATGGTTATTACCTTCGATCGGTAATTATATTATCGTGTCGGTAATTATTTTATGTCGATAATAACTACAAATTTAAAAAAACATTTTTACCTACTACTATCGGTAAAGAGGAAAATTCATGATCCTAATCGCCGCAAGATGGCTCGAGGTGTACGTATATCGAAGTGATGTCGCCATTTTCTATAATCTTGCTGGTCATTCAATATCCAGACATACGATAGCAGTTGCAATATTGCGATAAACGTAATAATTTCGTAAAAAGAACGAAACGTTTCGTTCGTACGTTCGATCATTTGTTCTATTCCAAAACAAATTTTTAATATCGTCATTCGATGTACACATATACACGTTGGTCTCCGTCATAACCTAAATCCCATTAGAAGGAAAGAAGTTTCCATAATTTTTATGTTCACGCCGTTCACATAACACACGAATTCGATCATCGTAAGTGGAAAACCGTGTATATTTTATCACACTTTTTATTCGTATGACCATCGAAATGATTAAAAATGCCGGATATAAGATTGAAGGAAAAAAAACAAAAAACAACACTCGGCGTACAATAAAATCGCCGAAGTCTCGAGACATACAAGTTCGTGTTTCCATTGGCTAAAAGAACGTCGGAAGAGGATGACGCATTCTCCTTTATTGGAGTTTTCTCTCTCTCTCTCTCGCTTTCTTTCTCTCCTCGCGCCTCGTTGAAGAGGCAAAGAAATAATTCACGCGCCCGTACGTACCGTTAGAGACTCGAAGAAAAACGTGGCAAGCTCCTGTGAAGCAGAAGCAGAAGAAGAAGAAGAAGAAGAGTTGTGTCTCTTTGACGAGAACAATGAACTCTTCTATCGTTCTCCGATAATGGGAAAACCTTGTGAACGAGGAACTACGTCTAAGAGGCCATTCAAAATGGCGGATTATAACCTATTAGTTTTCGAACGACCTTCAACGGCTTTTCCTTCGAAGTTTGTAGAGAGAGAAAGAGAGAGAGAGAGAGACAAACAGAGAGAATTGAAATTCTAAATCGATTTAATAGGAACGTTATAAGGTCGTAGAACGAATCGAATTCTTCGTCTATTTGTTCATAATGAAAGCGTCTCTCTCGCTCTCTCTCTCTCTCTTTCTTTCTATCTATCTATCTATTTATCTTTCTCTTTCTCCTTCGGAATAGAAGGCGAAAAGGGCAAGCAGGCAGGCAAACAGATTAGCTTGAAACATAGAACCTAATACATATACTCGTTTTACCGGCCTCCTGTCTCGGGTAGCTCGACGAAACGACCACAACGCCAACGTCGATGGTTTTCGACGGTCGTCGACGTTGACGACGTTGACGACAACGTTTTCTTGCAACGACACGCGAAAGAGAATCGAGCGCGATCGATACTCTTGAACTGTAAACAAGGAGAATAAAAAAAAAGAAAGAAAAAAAGGGCATGTCGTTGTTGACGACGAGAGACACATGACTCATGCTATCGATCTGTAACTTACACGATCGCCTAGAAAGCAATAATCGTGTTGGAACTCGAAGTCTGAAAATCTTAGGAATAGAAAAATAGTCTTTTACTTACTCTACACTTATATAAAGTATTATAAAAGAAAAATAAAAGAATTCTAGACAGATATATATATATATATATATATATATATATATATATAGAGAGAGAGAGAGAGAGAGAGAGAGAGAGAGAGAGAGAGAGAGAAAGAGAGAGAGTGTATTTAGAAAATTCGTAATAACTCTTCCGTATAAGGAAAAATTTTCGTATGGATTTTCGTTATCCTCGCGTTGGCCGCCTCAACCGATTTCAGTTGGAATTCGTTCGAAAGTCGTTTCCGGTTAGGAGCACTCGATAAAATAACTCGTTGTTGGTATTAGAAACAATGCTACGAAGATTTTTCTCAACCCTCACCACTCTGTGTTACTTCTACACAACTAGTACTACTACTACTACTACTACTACATCACTTTACTATTACTATACTACTACTACTACTATTCTACTACTGCTACTACACTACTATTACTACTACTAATACTACTACAACTACAAACACTACTACACTACTCGTCGTCGTCGTCGTCGTCGCGTCGTGTGTTCTCTTTCTCTTTCTCTTTTGTGTCCCTCGAGGACGTTGGTCGATGCGAAAACACGATATACATATATCATTCGTCGAGTTTGTTTAACAAAAATACTGTACAGTCGTCATTTCATTTCCAACACCTTTTAACCGTCGAACCAATCGGACATTGGAACGTCATCGTCAAGGGAACGTCAAACAGTTTGTTTCGTCGTACGAACGAGGCAAAGCGAACGAACCTTATGGCGGATCGTACCTACATATATACACACATACATACATATCATATATATATATATATATGCGTGCATGATGCATATACACATTCATATATTATACATATACAGAAGCAACCACAAAGGCGCGGCGGCACCGCCATAGTCGATGCCATGGACTCAACAACGGTCGTTGGTCGACACGAGTTTAGTGAAAACAAGATGGAGCATACGAGCGGCAGGGCCGTATATAAGCAAACCAGTTACCTTGATCATTTCGTTTATCATTTATTTTCTTTCGTTCACATTTATTCAAATATTCCCAGTCTAAAATCTTTTACGTTTGCGTTTTAATGACTCATCGATTAACAAACGTAAATTAACTCTTAGAAATTTATAATGAAAAGTAACGCCGACGTGAGTAAATATTTGATGATTTGATAGAAATTTAAGTAATTCCATGAGAGAAGGAAAAGTGAGAATGCATTTGTCATCGAACTATTATTATTATTATTATTATCATTATTATTACTATTATCGAATTCATTGATTTTTCTTGTCGAATAGAAATAAAGTATCGATAGGGTTTTCTATTTTTTTTTCTTTTCTTTTTTTCTTAAGTTCATCTACGAAAATTGTTTAGCTTAAAGGGATTCCGTCCTTCTAACAAAGACTAAACTTTCGATCGTTAGTATCCGAATACGCGTCAGTATGGTTAAGTACTTTTTTATTTCTTTATTTTTTTTTTTTATTTCCCTAATACATAATCCAATAGTCCCGTCTTTATTCTCCCTCGGTAGAAAGTACAGATGTCCCGGGTAATTGGCTGCACCTAAAACGGCCCTGAAGAAGTGAGAAAGAGAGAGAGAGAGAGACATAAGTAGATAGGGGAAAAAGAGAGAGAGAGAGAGAGAGAGATAGTAAGAAAGATGGCGGGCTTGCGTTGTGTCGTCGACGACGACACCACGACGATGACGGTGCGTCGGTGCAGGAGCGGACACTACGAGGGGCCTTGTGAGAGGGAGAAGGACAGGGAATGATGTGTTCTCAAAGGGCGGTGCGAGGCAAAGGGGTGTAAAGATAGAAAGAGGGAATAAGAGAAAGAGAGAGATAGATAGAGAGAAAGAGAGAGAGAGAGAGTGATGATCGTTTGAAAGAGAAGGGAGACACGGCGCACTCGGCTCAGGGGTTCGGGTTAGCTCGTTCGACCCGTTATCCCTCCTCTCCCGGTGGCTCGAGATCTCCCTACCTGTCCTTGCTTCGATTCCACACGAATATAATTCTCTCTTTCGCTCTCTCTCTCTCTCTCTCTCTCTCTCTCTCTCTCTCTCTCTCTCTCTCTCTCTACGTATTCCCCCACTCGAGGAAGCTTTTCCGCCGGCAACGGCGCGGAAACATTGTACCCCCACCAACTCTATTGGGTACATAGCGCTTGCGCGCGCGCGCGCTCACGGCACGTCACCGCTTAGTAGCCGACACGAACGTCCTATTCTCCCTCCCTCGCTCTCTCTCTCTCTCTCTCTCTCTCTCTCTCTCTCTCTCTCTCTCTCTTGTGCGCTGCTTCTCCCCTCCATCTTGACGGCAACGTAGTAGCCGTGTTTTCCGTTTCCCCCACCAGACAGCGCAACGACGGTAGAGAGCGACGGCGACGGCGCTGCTTTTTCCCCCCACCACCGGTCGCAAGAGCCGACAGCGTTAGCAGGAACGGGAGCGGGCGCTAGCCAGCGAGCCGCGCTACGCTCCCGCCACGGTGACGTCACTTCGAGTAGTGTAGTGCAGTGAGAAGGAGCGAACTCTTCGCTCCCGTCCGCATACGCTGCGCCCTCGAAACGTGTTTGTTTTATCGTAGACGAGAAAAGGAACGAGAAAGGAACGAGAGAAAAAAAAGCAACCTGGAAAACAGCCCAACGAAAGTCTCCGGAAGAAGAAGAAGAAGAAGAAGAAGAAGAAGAAGAAGAAGAAGAAGAAGAAGAGAGAATTAACGATTCTTCTTAATATATATATATCTCTCTCTCTCTCACGTGTTTTCTTTCTTTTTTTTTTCCTCTTCTTTTTCTCGATACACAACAATTCTCCTCGTTATATTTCTCTCAGCTCTCTTAGAAATATTCTTCTCGAATATATATATACACACACGTACATACTGTATAAAGAGAGAAAGAGATAGAGAGAATATCGCTCTTCTCGCAAAGTGTGTGTGTGTGTGCGTGTGGCGCGCGCGCGCGCGCGCGTGTGTGCGTGCGTGCGTTTGTTGCGTGTACCGTCGTGTATCTTTTTCCCCTTTTTTTCTTTTGATTATATTTCTCCATCACTGGGATCACAAGCAGAAAAGATAATAAGACACACAGAGAGAGAGAGAGAGACATAGAGAAAGAAAAAGAAAAAGAGGGAGAGAGAGAGAGAGAAATTGCCGAGTTTAACGACCACGACGTTCAAAGCACCCACTATTCAAGGAGGAGAGGGAGAAAAAGAAAGAGAGAGAGATAGAGTGAGTGAGTGAGTGAGTGAGTGAGTGAGTGAGTAAGTAAGTAAGTAAGAAAGAAAGAAAGAAAGAGAGGGTGTGTATATCTCGTCTCGATTCTTTCGAGTAGTTTCCTTATACAAGGCACGCGGGCAGTGCTCGTGAAAATGAACAGTGCTGTGGGAAAGTAGAGGGGGAGATTCGAATACGAAAGGAGATAGAGATAGATAGAAGGAGAGAAAAAGAAAGACGTAACGAACTCGGCAGAAACGTTCGACGAGAAATCACGCGGGAAGACGAGGACGAAAGTCGGCGAAATCATTGTCGTTCGATTTTCGCGAACAGTGTGAAGTACGACATAACAAGAGAAGGGAAGATAAGAAAAAGAAGAGAAGAAAAGTTATTTACCGGTGTTGTCATCTTCTCTAAAATATTGTTTTTTTTTTCTTCTCTCGAAGTATCGTTTCGAAAAAAATAATCATCCCTCGTGTGTTCGATTGGAGAATACTCACCGTATACCACCCCCTTTCACTATTCTCGTTCAACCACTATCAACGCCCCAACTAACAACAGCAGCAGCAACAACAACACAACAACAACAACAACAACAACAATAACAACGACGACGTTTTCCTTCATTTGTTACGGAAATTTTCTTTTTTCTTTCTCCCTTTTTTTTTTGGTTTTCTTTTTTTTTTTTTCATTTTTCTTTTCGTTCTCCTCCAGTACGGTGTTATACGTATAAATAAAAAAGATATATACATATATATACATGTATATATATGTCGTCCGACGGAATGGATCGGCCGCGAGCTGTGCCCGTGGTGCCGTGGTGTGACGTGTGATTAAGCCCGTCTATCGTCCATATCGTGATTCAGTGGTGTACGATGTGGTGTTCGGCGACGGCCCTGGTCCTCCTCGTAGCCGTTGCCGTAAGTGGTGTCTTTTCTAAAGGCTCCTACTCCAGATCCTCCTATTTCGTTTCGTTAATACATCCGATCGACTTTATTTACGCGTCGACCTCGTCGTCGTCGTCGACCTCGACCTCGTCGTCGTCGTCGTCGACCTCGTCGTCGTCGTCGACCTCGTCGTCGTCGTCGGCGACGTCGTCGTCGTCGTCGTCGTCGTCGTCGTCGTCGTCGACTTCGTCGTCATCGTCGCAGCCACCGCCGCCGCCACAGCTGCCATCACCAACAACGACGACCAATTGTTGTCGAGGAAACTACTACTACACTTCGGCGGCTATTTATCATCATCATCAGCATCAACATCGTCATCGTCATCGACGTTCCATCGACAAGAGGATAGAAAACTATCACGACAGAAAAAGCTTTAATATCAACGTCATCCTCGACGATATCAACAATAGCAACGACCACAGTTATAACAACATTATTGCTGCTAGGAATTGCATCAATATCAATAAGAGCAACAGTAGCAGTAGTAGTGATAGCAACAGAAGCAGCAATAAGAAGGGTAAAAATAACAGTAACGTTGCTGATATCTTTCATATCAACGATTTCTTCTCCGTTGATTTCGTCCTTACCAACGTCATCGTAACCAGCGGTATCCACAGCAGGAGCTGGAGTAACAGCAGCAGCAGCAGCAGCAGTAGCAGCAGCAGCAGCAGCAGCAGCAGCGGAAACAGCAATATCATCGTCATCGTCAACAACAACAACATCGGTAGCAGCAGCAACAGCAGCAGCTTTCGTGTTAGTGACTAGTGATCGATCTTCTTTTTTTTTATACTTCTCATTATTATTTCAACCCCCAACCCCCTCCTTCCCCTTGAGTTTTATTACATGGGAAAGTGAGAATACGTTTGTACGCGAATAAGTGTTCCTTTGTTATAAAGTGGTGCACGCAGGTGGACGCCGCCCCCCATCCCCAA